ATAAGTTCTAATCTTCAGAAGCTCAGATTTTCCAGACTCATGGGTAATTGAAAATCTCTTGAATAATTTATGCATGAAATACTGCTCTTCGAAAACGATATCGATCTTGAACGGGGATGCTCTAACTTTACCTTTCCTTAATATCTTTCAAAACCTGTAGAAACTTTGTGTGGAGCATTATTAAATAAGTTTCTCACTAACGGTCACTCATTTTTATGGAAACCATATTAGTGTCATACGGAAGACAAAATGGTAGGTATTTTTCATTCGATAACCATTAATCATTGAAGCATTACCTATAAAACGAAACTCAGACAAACATGTATCTATTTACAGCCTGGATAGACAGGAAAACAGTTGAGCATTTCATGAGTCTACTACTTGGAAATATTTTCCGTACTAGGTTCACGTGACTTACACAAACACCTTTTTTGAAACATACTGGAAGCATGAAAACACTTTACTCAATGTTCATACATTTGGATTCCAGTACCAGCATATTTTAATGACTGTGCGCTTTAGCAATATCATCATAACTAACTTTGAGTAAAGCACTAGAGTATTTCAGGAGGAATATAATTTTGCTATTTTCGTTGCGTACTTAAATGGTAAATTTCTATTATTATACAAGACACCGTTGCTGGTATGAAATATAATGGACTTTTGGAATTTTTTTACAAGTAAGAAATGAGGTTGAGCAATTCCACTCAGCATAGTAACAGGAAATTACAAGTATCATAACAACTGATACCCGATACACAAGAGGTGACTATCGTGCCCCAGTGGCCTAGTGCATAACGCCTTAGTGTTTGAAGCGATGGGTACTGGATTCGAGTCTCAGTGGAACCATATCACTCACTAGGGTGCATGTACAGCCAGCTGACCATTCGCAAATGGGACGAAATGTGCGTCCTGAATTTCCCTGCCAACCACGAAGTAGACTACAATATGATGAGAAATGACTCACTTCACCAAAGTTGCATTATGCTGAATACTCTACTCTTTTATCCTTTGAATCATAAGCAAACAAATTCTATGACTGTCCATTAAATACCATTTCGGCACTTCCTTCAAGGTTGAACGCTGATATAAGGCTCCCGCCTTTGTCGGTTGATTGAAGTCTTCACAGAAATAAATACATGTGACACTACACAATGAAATAAAAGCTTGTGTCCCAGTATCTGAAGAAGTAGTGGTATCCAGTTAACTAGCTAAAGAAATGAAATCTCTACGGTCTTACTGAGTTTTGTGCCCCCGAAATTTCAGTCATGAGTCAAATTGATCTGAATCCTAAAATCTAAGAGACTATAAGTCAAACTAATTCTCATGTGGTTTCTCAGAAAAATCATTACCCCTTTCCATTTAAACTGAAAAGATCACTCATCGATACTTGTTTGAACAGATAAGTGCTGTTTTTCATATATTAATTGATATCAAAATAAACTGGACTAATAATGCCTAACTGCAATCCCTAACAAACTCTCGATGATAACATTCATGTCTTGCTTAAGAAATGCTTTCAGTCTCACAAGGGCTTTTAATAAAAGACAATTGGTATTGATATCACAATTAGTTTACAGCGAAATAATACGACGATAAACATCAGCTGTAAACCGACCAAATCGTTTCTAAAAGTATCTCGTTTCATATCTCAGCCATCTGCTTAGAAAGCTTATCAGTGACCTGTTTTTTATCCAATAACCCTTTCAGCCTCTGACGGCTATCCAACATCGATCCTCTCTTCTATTTCTTCCCCAGACACCGAGTGAATAAGTTACTGCAAAGCCTCACAGCTGATTCACGAATCAGTTTTTCCAACTCTTGTTTCCTGTTGCGGGCAATCAAGGAATGCTAGACGAAGCAAATGGATGCAAACAAAATTATTTTTCAATGCGATATAATGAAAATACAAGAGACCACTGCTCCTTTCTTATTCTTGATCGAAGCTACTTTCTTTGCTATTCTCCCACAGCAGGCAGAAAATAACATAAGAGCATCTCAAGATAAGGATCTCAAGCACACAGAATTACAGGATCATTTATAAGGCTGTAATACGCCAACTTATTATTTAAACCTTATGTGACATTCAAGGAGTCAATTGGCTGATGCATCTTCTCTCGATAAAAGCAAAAGAAAATATGTGGACATGGAATGTCCGCACAATATTTGCACCTAGCAAGGCTGCCCAGATTGCAAATGAGATGAAAAAGTATGACATAGAAGTGTTAGGAATCTGCGAAAGCAGATGGAATGGAAGTCGACCCTCCAAACTGTCAACTGGAGAGAAGTCAATAATCTACTCCGATCACCCAGACGACAACCATGAGCACACTGAGTTTTGAAGTGGCTATCATGATGTCCCCAACAGCATCGAAGACTCTCTCTCATACAGTGGGAACCAATCTCCTCCTGCAGGATCACGATCATGACAGCAAGATTCAACTCAAAAGGAGGGAAAGTCACAATCATACAATGCTACGCTGCACTACACACCCACAAATAATGCAGACGAAGAGAAGAAGGAGGAATTCTCTCGACACAGCCCACAGCCCAGTTGGTGACATCAAAACTCATTCTGATGGGTGGGGTGACATGAATGCCAAACTGGGAGCGGACAACACAGCAAGAGAACTAACCATGGGTTGCGAAGCATTTGGTGAAGTGAGTGAGAATGGAGAACTGTTTGCAAACTTCTGCGCATTCAATGATTTGGTGATTGGAGACGAAGCAGTGTGCACAAACACAAGGATATTCAGAAAGCGATCTGGATTTGATTTCACCAGATGGACACACTGAAAATCAGATCGACTTCATCTCAATGTGAAGAAAGCAGAGACACAGTCTACTGGACACAAGATCAGATCAAGAAGGGGAGCAGATGTAGGTTCACACCACTCACTATCTAGTCCAAGGAACCTGCCTTCAAAGAAGTTGGTGATGATAGACCACAGTTCAAGTTTAACACCCAGAACAGAAACTGGACTGAAGGACGAAACTACAAGGGACACCTTCACGTTAGCTGTCAGGATAAAATGGGAGACATTAACCAACATCGCTGAAGAAACCTGTGTGGAAGAACACTGGAACTTTTTGAAAGAGACGTGGGAGGAAACCTGCATAAACGCTTTAGGAAGGAAGAGGAAAGAAGACAATGAATGGATCTTGGCGGACACATGGAAGCTGATAGACGAGGGAGAGGAAGATGGTCAAGCGGAAGACAAACCAGTGCAAGGATGAACAACGAAAAGAGGAACTGAACACAACTTATAAAACACTGTACAAAGAAATGAAGAAGAGTTCGTGGAAAGAAAAAAGACACTTCTACGAAACACCGGCAAGTGAAGCAGAACAGGCTGCTGGTAGGAGAGACCTGATAACACTGTATCAAATAACCAGGTTACTATCTGGGAAGAGATCAACATAGATGAAACCAATGAAAAATAGTAAGGGGAGCCTAGTTACCAAGGAGGGGAAACAAAGGAAACAGTGGTCTCATCACTTCGAAATACTCTTGAATCGACCACTACCACCGCCACCTGCAACTCGTTCAGAAATATCACCAGCACAGAAC